TACATTTCGAACTGTATCAAAATCAATTTTATAAATAATAACATGGAAATTTTTTAATAAGAACAAAGGTGGGTTCATACATGCTAATTGGGTTGCTAACTAAGTTGACTTTTTTACTTATAATAATGAATTTAGTTTTGACAGATTAAGCGATAAAATATAACAGTTTTAAATTCACTTTCAATTTATATTATTATATAATTTAATCAAGTTAATATGTTATTAACATAATATTTATAAATAACCAATTCAATCCAAAAGTTTAAGTTGGTAGGTGATAATTTTTTAATAATTTATACAATTTTCTAATACGTCCTCTTATCCCACTTATATCTTATATTGCGATGAGGATAAAATATAACATTTTTGGATCGTCTCTACCCCATGCACCTTCTCTTATGAAATTTTTTAGTACAGATAAGTGGATATGTGCATTATTCTCCCTTCAAATCCAGTGCACTGTCATGTGAGGGGTTCAACCCATGCACTTTCTCTTGTGAAATTTCTTAGCACAGGTAGGTGGGCCTGTGTATTGTCTACTCTTATAATCTAGTGGACTCTGATCTTGTGAGAGGCATGTTAGAGAATATTATAAACCATTAAAAAGTCCTCACCCACTAGTTTAAGCTTTTGGGTTAAATTAATTCTTTACAATATTAATTGGTAATATAAAAAAATTATAATTGTACTGTGTCAAAATTAAACCAACATATTTTTTTTTTTACAATAACAAAAGTGAGGCTCACATATGATAACGAAATCACTCATTCAGTTAAATTTTTACTATTCAAAATTATAGAATTTACATTAATAGGCTATTTATAAATCATAAATAATTTTATAATTACATTGTAAATCATTTTTAACATTAGTGTTTACTTGACGTTAAAATGATAAACTTTCTATTTACCTAACATATATATCCGGGGACACTTTTTCTACAGCGGTTACATAGAACTGCTATCTGCAGCTGAGAGCGGCAGAGATCGTATCCTGACTTATTGTATGTGCAGCGGCTGCAAAAATGATTTTCTAATATATATATATATATATATAATATAAAATAATATATATGAGTTCGCTTTTCTGCAGTTACTGCATATAAATTATCTGCAGTTTGCCCAATACGACGTCGGTTTGGGACGGAAATCATGGTGCTTTTGTAATTTTAATTTATTTCAGGGTTATTATAGTCTTTATAATTATAATATTTTAATCCAAAAAGTAGGGGTGTTCAACAACCGATCCAAACCGATTCAAACCGCGGTTACCGAACTGAAAAACCGATAACCGAATAAACCAAAAATCGAAAAACAAAAAACCGAAAAAAAAACCGTAAATTTTAATTGGAAATGAAAACCGATCCAATCCAAACCGATTCAATATATTAATTTTCCTCTACCTACTTGGATCTTTTCTTAATCATAGTCTAAAAATTTCTAAACCCAAGACCCATTAACCCATTATCTAAACCCAAGAAAAAATCTAGTCACATCTCATCAACAAAATTTTATCTTTGTAGAGCTTCATATTTCATTGCAAAAAAAAAAAACTATATTATAATTTACTAATGCTTATTTATTTCAATTTTTTTTTACAAATCCAATATATACAAAAGATGTTATTTGTAATATAATCATGAAATAATTTTAGAATTTTCAAAAAACCGAAAACCGATCCAATCCAAACCGAAAAAATTTGGATTGGATCGGATCGGATTTGGAAAAAAATCCAAACCAAATGGATGATTATATGATCAAACCGAAAGGATTGGATCAGATGATTTTCGCTTCCAAAACCAATCCAATCCAGACCGCGAACACCCCTACCAAAAAGGATGTCGGTTTAGGAGTAAATGCTGATAACTTTTTTGCAATAACGACAGGAATTTTTTTCTAAATATATATATATATATATATATATATATGTATATATATAGGGGTAGGATATTCTTAAACCGATGTAAGCGTTAGAAGTCTTACACTCAATCTTGACCATTGATCCACTTGTATCCAATGGTTCAAATTACTAAAAGAATAGAGCCTTCAGATAAAAGTGAAATCAACAAACAAGATTAAGAGTGTAACTTACACTGGTGTAAAATGATCCTGACCCATATATATATATATATATATGGGAAAAATATTTCTCAAACAGCTTGAAATAAGATTTTGTGTAAGATTTATTATTCTTATGCAATTAAAAGAAAAAGAAATACTGGCTCGAATTTCGATGTATGTATAACATGAGATAAGGTTTCTCATGCAACATGAGAAAAATATTTCTTATATATATATATATATATATATATATATATATATAGGGCTTATCGTTTCTCAAGCTGCTTGAGATAATTTTATCTCCGGCTACTAAATCATAACCGTATAAAGATGGATGGTGATAAACGAAGAGAGAAAAAGAAAATCATAATCATTCAAAGGTGAATCATTTAATATAAAAAAAATATAAATAAAACAACGTAATTTTGGGGCAGGTAGAGATAAACTTATCTCAAGCTGCTTGAAAAATATTTTTCTCATATATATATATATATATATATAGTTAGGATATTCTTACTACCAATTTTTTTACTACCACTCCACTACCACTTTAATCGCCATTGAATTAGAGGAAAAGTTGAATGAAGAGAGAGAAAAGAAAAATAACTTTTGAATCCAATGGTGACTAAAGTGGTAGTGGAGTAGTAGTAGAAATAATTGGTTGTCACAATATCCTATATATATATATATATATATATATATATATATATATATATATATATATATATATATATATATATATATATATTAAATGAGGGGACATGTGAAAGCGGGTCCCAAATTAATAAGTGGTCCTACTAAGTTGATAAAGGTCCCCTGCTGAATTGATATTTGATATACAAATAGATGCAATGGCTAATCTTATATGACATCACTGCATACGCCTCTAAACTATAGATCATATTCATGCTCTTCACATTATGACACCTGCCTTCCCTACAAAACCTCTAAAGTAAACGTTGTTTTCTTCTTTTTCGAATGAATCATTGTGTATAATTATGAAATACATGAAGATTAACCGGAAGTTCATGATCCAAATGACCAATTTGAACCCATCAACACATACAACAAAATTTTAAAATCCATTCTTGTGGGACAAGAAAAATAAGATAATAATAAACCTGTCCAGTTTACTTTCGCGAATTCATTTATAATAAAAGAAACAATATTTGAATTGTACAGTTTTTTTTTTCAAGTAAACTATGAACTACTCTATGATAATATAATATCATTTTCTTTTCTATCTCAGAAGTGAGAAAATCAAAATTGCATGGCATGAAGTAGAGTGAAGATTTGAGGCAGCCTGGAGTGAGAGAAAAACTTCAGTGAATGGATCCTCTAGTGTGCCAAAAGAACATGATATGATCATGTGTGAAAATCACAATCATACAAAGGTAAATCAACAGTTATGATTTTGTAATTACTTATTTTATCATTTTTTTTCTCTCCTCCTTTTTTACCATTGATCCACCTTTGTATGGTTATGATTCTACACATTACATGATCATGTGAATTTTCATATTAGAGGATCGAGATCCAAATTCGGTACTTTTTTTATTAAAAAAGAAATTTTTTTTAGGACTTAAAAGAAATATATATAAAAAAAAAAGCATGGGTAACGTGTGTTGAAGGTTTTCTACTCAAGTGGGTATTGTTTTCCACGGTCAAGTAAAGAAACCGAAGAAGTGGAAATTAAATAACACTGCGCGGAAAAATGATCAGGAACATATCACGTTACTTGTATTAAGTATAAGGGAAATATTAAATTCGTGTCATATGAGATAACAAATTTTTTCTACACACTCAAAAAGACATGTGTTCTACTTCAATTTTTTTCTTTTTCTTTTTCTGTGTAATAAAACTCACATAAAATTATGAGTGCAACATGAAATAAATATTTTCCCTTTCCATAAAAAAATAATCCTAGCTGAAACCCTAAAACTCATAAGTGGGTGTGCTTTTCTACCATCTTATAGTCTTATTTTAATGAAATGGGCGCAATAAGCGAGGAGATCTTAACTTATCTTTTTCCCTCTCTATTTCTTTCTCACCAACTTACATAGACGCGCCATTAATTTAGAGAGCTATATATAATTTCGCCACTAATTTTATTAATTTATTAGAAATATCAGTTGATTTATTAAATCCCAGGGAAATGTTTATCAAAAGCAGAATGCTGCGCCAGCCCACATGGCCTTGTTTACTTGTCGCTCGGAAAATGACAAAGACAAATTACCGCATAAATCGTGATTAAAGCACAATTTTTCATGACATTATTATTGAACCCAATTTTCCCATTAGATTTTGTTTTCGTGCTAAACACTGTGTCAGTGTGTCTTAATAGGTTGTGCTTGAAAATCCACCAAGTTGCTTGTTTTGACTTTCAACAAATCAAATCACCATTCTTAGTTTTGATATCGGTTCCATTTAATTTAAGAATATTTCAAAAACGCCAGCGCTTATTTAAAACGGCCAATTTTTATGGATTTTTGATCTGAGTATGAACATATTAACTAAAAAACAACCAGTGAAATTGGTGACTAATTAGCATTATATAATATTCTAAGTAAGTTATGACAACAAAAACGAATTTTCAACCAAAAAAAACAAAAACGAATTAACTAACAAAAACAACTTACATGATTGAAAGAATTAACCATCAAAACTGAGTACGATTTCTTAAAATCTAAAGTTGACGGGCTATGTGCATTCTAGTCGCTGTAAATTTTGTGCTGTCCTTTTTTATTTTTTGTCCTGGAGGCTGGAACTATTGGATAAATTTCCAACTTCAATAAATTCTGAATCATTAATCTTTCTCTTAATTTTTTTTTTCTTGTTTGTTTCTCTCATTCTGTGTCTTTGAGTTGACGCTTACGATAAACCAAAAAAAAATAAAAAAAAAATAATAATAATAAAGGAAATAGACAAATTGTAGTCGCAAAATTAGAAGATTAAAAACATTTACATACAAAATTTATTATAATTACAAAAACTGCTCCAAACTCCTCTTTTTTATTATGAGAGGGAGTTGGAGTCTTCTGGATTTTACTCCTTTCTCACTTTTCTGATATTTTACACAAGAGAAAAGGAGACAAAAAAAAGAAGAAGAAAAAAGTGAAAGACAAGATTCTCTCAACTCATCCAGAGTCTCTTATTCCTAGAACCAAGGAAGAAAAAAAGAAAAGGAAAAAAATCTACATGCACCATCAAAATTTACAGGACGTAGTCTGTTTCCTCCAAACTCTAGTAGTAAGTACATAGCAAAAGAGAAAACAAGAGTGCAAAATTAGCTACGCTTGCCACCAGCAAGTAGCTTCTGTCATGTCTCTCTAAACTGCAACAACACTCTACTTTATTTTTCATGTCAGATGAGCCGTGTCACCACCACTCAAGATCCATGGATGTCCTGCAAATCAAAACCACAAAAAACAATTAATCTCAATTTTTTTTTGAATAAAATTCATTAACACACGGTAAAATCAAAGTCTCAAATCAAGGGGAAAATAAACATACTCAAGGCTTGTTCTGCAGATAATCTTCTAGAGGGGTCCCTGGAAATCATTTTCCTCAAAAGATCCTTAACAGAAGGGGACACGGACCTAAAGATCCTCGAAGGGAACCTAAGATTAGCCCTAACAACAGCTTCAAAGATCTCAGCAGCAGAATCTCCATAAAAGGGTGGAATCCCAGCCAACATTATATACAAAATCACACCACAACTCCAAACATCAACTTTCTCATCGTACTCACTCCCCATCAGAACCTCAGGCGCCACGTAATACGGCGTCCCCACCACCCCGCTCATGCTCCTCCCGTCGCCGAACAACTCAGCGGAACCGAAGTCGGCGAGTTTAAGGTTGTTCATCGAATCGAACAAAAGATTGTCGGGCTTGATGTCCCTGTGAGCCAAGCCGAGCCGGTGGCAGTGTGCGACGGCTTCGAGAAGCTGTTTCATGATGGAAGCGGCTTGTGGCTCGGGGAAAGGGTTGGCGAGGATTCGATCCAAGAGGGTGTGTGGCTGACAGAGCTCGAGAACGATGGATAAGAAATCGTCGTCCTCGAAGACATCGAAGATTTGAAGGATGTTTGGGTGAGGGGAAAGAAGGGTCATGTACTTTGGTTCGTTTTCGAGGCACTCGCGATCGGTGGAATCGGTTAGAAGGGATTTGTCGATGACTTTGGAGGCGTAAACTTCGTTGGAAATAGGATTGAAGCAGCGGAATATGGTGCCGAAACGACCGCGACCTATCTCCTCGCACACCTGGTACTGCGTTTTCAAGGCCTCGCACATTCTTTTTCTTTCTTCTTCTTCTTCTCTCTGTTTTTGTTTTGTTGTGTTTTGCCGTTGGTTTGTTTTGGTTGCTCTGTTTTTATAGAAAGTAAATAAATAAATAAAAATAAAAACAACTGTGTGAGAGAGTGACTTAATGTGCGAGAATGGAATATTCGTTCGGTGGATACCATACCACAACTGAAAACGCACCTGCTGAGGTCTTCTATTATGCGAGTCTGTTACCAAGAAGGTTTACCGCTCACGCAGTTGTCTACCTAACGGAAAACATCTACTACTTATATTGTATTATGCATGTATATTTATTTATTTAAAGGAAAAGTAATTCTGCTTTTAAATGATATCTTTTCACTCTCGTAAAGAGATGAGATCCATATTTTTATATTTTTTTTGTTTATTCTTTCTCCTATTTTATCTATCTCTTTCTATCACCTAAAATGACACAACTTTACCTCTTTTAAAATGGTGCACATTTTTTTTCCTTTATTTAATACTTTTAATTATCATATTGTATATAGTGTTGGTTTTTTTAATGAGACAAATTTAAAATGACGAGTTTTAACATATATTTGTTGATTTTTTTAATTTTTTGTCGTGTCTTCTTTATGATATTTTCTTGTTCTCTCTTTATCTAAATTTGTGAAAATAAATAAATATAAAAGACCAATAAATATATACCAAATACAATTATTTCATTTTAAAAAAATAAAAATATGTCCTTTAAAATTATAAATAATTTTTTCAAAATATTTTATTATGCAAAGTCAAATTTAATTTTTTAGTTATTAAAATTGAGGTGAAGAGAGATAAATACATGAGTTTGGTGTTTGTCATTTTAAATGACATAAGTTATGTCATTTTTGGAGAGAGATAGATACAGAAAAATGAAAATCATGGAAGAGAGAAAGTGGATGATTTTTTTTAATTTAAAATTCAAATTTTCTGCATTTGTATCTCTCTTAAAATGACATAATTTACTGTCATTTAAAATGACAAACAATTTTTCCTGAATACATACTTTAAAAAAGGTCTTACAAATGTTGGACAGAATTTCAACTATTTAATATTTTGTGTCTATTGCTCTCTTCACTTGCTCCGACCCGACAACTTGAAAACTCATGTTAAAATATTTATTCCCGTATTATAAGAACTAAGGAATGTTCAATACCCCAATTATTTATTTCCAATTTAAATGTGTTTAACTATTTAATATTTTATGTTTAGCTCTCTTTCTCTCTCTTCACTTGATCTTTGAAAAAATTTATTTCCTAAGCATCTTTAGAATTTAGAAACATTCAATCATCTAATGCCTTAATCAAATTATGTTTAGCCATTAAATTTGATAAATTTCATTTCTTCTTCTCCAAGTTTGAATCTCTTTTCTTGGGTCATTTTGCTATTGTTTATTTATTTTTTACAAAAGAAGAATCCTTTTTTATGCCTTTTCTTGGCAGCCGAACAAGAGGAGTAAAGGAATTGGAATAACGAAAGACATTATGCTTGGAATATACCAGGGAAACCAAACAACGATATTTCTTAGTGAATCCCAAATTCGCAATACTTTTTTGAACGCCAATAAGAAGCACGTGTCTCTAAAGAGAACCACATTATTTTCAGCCATTTTTTTTTTTAATAAATCTTAAGTATCCTTTATGGGAGACTGTTAGAGATATATGGAGGATTAATGTTTTAAATTCTTTCTAAAAGTAATACCGAAGAGGATCAAACACACGCTCCACTCCCGCCTACTTTTTCAAACAAATATTTTGTGCATCAAGGACACGTTCGTGATCGTCCCTAAATTTGGGTAATGTAACACTTCAACTTTACGGCCTACCTATATATAGAATTTAATTACAAACTGACATCCTACTATCAATACTCTTTTGTAAATATTTATTTACAAACATTTTTTTAAAACAAATTCAAAAACTATGTACTGAGAGTATATCTATTATTCAAAATATGATTGATGACGCTCAACCGATTGGCCCGTTAAGGCATATCCAAACTCCTTTCTTTTATTCTTGTCAGCCAGCCTTGCTGATCAAGGGTTACTAACCCCCCTCTTTTTTGTCTCCACAGGAAAGTATTTCCAAGGTAAAACATCAAAATTTCTTATCTTGAGATACTACCTCCCCCTCGGATGACCTCTCCCGACCTCCTAAATAGGAGCTTCCCCTCCACAGCTACAGCAGCAATGACTGCCATCAGTATAGCAGGGACTGCACTATTGCCACTGTAGCAACGACAGGCGCCAATGGCGCTCCTCAAGGAGAGTTGACCCCGCTCCCTCTCCCATGCGAGCAGGGCATCTTCTCCCTCTATAAATACCCCTCCATCATCATACAAGGGGATCCATCTTATGTGTCTGTTACTCTGCCACTTTCTAAGCCTTTACTACCACACCACCTTTTCATACAGATTCAGACCTCATACTTGGGACGTCATCGTTTAACTTGGTCTCTACCTCTGTTAGAGATTGACATCCATGTAGTGATAAATATCCCCTCCAAGAAAATATAGTGCCCGTTTGGATGAGCTTTTATTCATAAAAAAGTTACTTTTTCTAAAAAAATAAAAGTCTTTTGAGAATGTTTAGATGTTTGGATAACAACTTTTTAAAAAAGCAAAATTTAAAACAAAAGTTAAAATGCTGCTTTTTTTTAGCTAGTAGTTGGTTACTTTTGAAAAAAAGCAGAAATTAAAAGATAATATAATTTTTTTTTGAAAATAAGATAATACAAAATTTTAAAATACAATTTTAATCGTACTTATTTGTTCTCTCCTTATCCTACGATCATACTATTTTATCTCTCCTTTATTATAATTTTATATATAAAAAGTGTTTTTTTTTTATTTTAACATCCAAATAACTTTTTTATGTAAAAGTAATTTTCAGATTATACATCCAAACGTAAAATAATTTTATCTTTTAGGAAAAATTCTTTTAAAAAAAATAATGCATAAAAAATTATTTTTTTAAAAGCTTATTCAAACGGACCCATAATAAACTTACAGGTACAGATGATAAACTCCCTACATAATCTAACTAATTCCTAAGAAAAAGGAGTGAAGTTATCTCGAATCTATAAACTCCGACAATCAACAGTACAATTTTTTTTCTTTTAAATAAACAAAGTGAGGATTGGTGGGGTACTTTGTAAGTGTTCTCCTCACCATGGCATATTTACTCCTGAACCGGAGTACACGATCGCTTCCATTGAGCCCATATTCTCTCATGTTATCGTGCAATCCATTTTCTTTTACTAATCTAAACAAAAAGCTATTCACGTTGGGGTCCAGCAGAAATCATGATAAGGATATGGACCAAAACTTTTCCGGATATGTAGCCATTAAGAAAAGAGCACTTCAAAAAAGATTACGATTATTTCCTTTTCTCAAATGCCTGGTACCCACCCCATGACTTGCCGGACGGTGTAAGGTACAAGGATAGGACAATCACTTATTCACTACAGATCAAGAACGCTATAGCAACACGTTGCATGCCTTTATGGCCGTAGCTTCGTCCTTCTACTAAAAAGTACCGAAGAAGGTACGGAGAAGAGGATTACCTTATACGATTAAGATTCTAAGGTGAGAGTGGACTTGTTTTAAGCCAAAATTTGAACTTCAAACCAACTCCAGAGTCAAGACAAATGATAAGGGCTAGAATTGAATTTAGAATCTTAACCTTAAAATTGATTTCTTTTACAAATTAATATTTTACTCAATAATTTTCAATTCATGAGGATAACACGGTTGCACTAATGTTGAAAATTATAACCAAATGAGCCGTTAATATATGCACCAATCGAATCAAATTATTAATAAGAATTCGCCAAAAAAAATGTATAAAATAACAAAAAATGCCTCCAGTCTTTAACAAAATTACCCAGATACTGACGTCTTCGGCCCCTTTAAACTCTTTCTGGATTTATATTTGTATAACTTAGACCATACTGACACTAGAGAATACAAAAACTTTCTTTAAGGAAAATACTAGACTGATTAAAAAAAAATATATCCAATGTACATGTACAAAGCTTTTGAATAGTAAACATACTACCCCCAATGCCATTGAATAATAGGAGTGTCTATGCGGAAAAGTGTTAATATAATCCTGCACATATCTTGAGAGATAAATCTAATAGTCCAGAAAAACTGTGACGTTTTATATGACTAGCAGTACTCTTTAAATTCTTCAATTCCTAACAAAAGATTAATTTCAGTGAAAGACAACAACAGGAGGCACAGATGACGACCTAAATGTACCCTTCGACAGATACGGGGCAAAAATGACCCGAAAATTGAAGCAAACTACTAAAAGATTCAAACGGGAAAAATCTTGATATTTATGCTCCTTAATAACTCAAGTGCCCCCAAATAACAACATACTCAATTCAATATAAATCAACCTGGCTAACACTTCTGAGCAAACGTCCTCATTTTGCATGGATATCGGTACAAGGCAACAAAACTTCCATGATAATGGCCCCAATGTATGTTACTACCAGCAGATCTGAATATTGTTGTAGCTTGCCCATCAAAAATACATTCCATAGTCAGTTATTGGAATTTCCCGCTCTTTGAAGCAAAGTTCGCACAATCGACATAAAAGCTGATCTTGTGTCCAGTGTCTCTGAACAATTGCCAGTCCATCAGCTCTGGGGCGATAATTTCTTTTCATCCCCTGTAGTAATATATAATGCGCAAAAGAAATTTAGAAGTGTGTCATAGTAACTGAGTACTTTTAAAAATGGAGAAAGGAGTTAATAGACACTACAGTGTACAGAGACCTCAACTTTCTGAATTCATCTTTCTAGTGTTTAGCATCATAAATAGAACTTTTGAGCATGTACCGTGCTCGTAAGAGAGAGTCACATTAAAAGCACTTACATAAACTATCTCAGAAGGGAGCCTCTAGTGATTCATCCCAGACTTCTGCACTTCCATTAGAGGCATCTTCTACGTCTTCTTCCATTGAAAGTCTAATATATTCTCTATGAGCAAATCGATCCCACTCTGTCAATGTTGGATTCTCACGTTCCTATTCACATCAAACATGCGCACCAATTACCAGAGATGTCACCAACAGGAGCCAAACATACTAACAGCTAACTCAACAATGCAATAATTTCTATCAAATATTTCAGGCACCTGACGAATCAAAAATGGGTCACGAGTTTCAAAGGCCATGAACTTATTTAGATTGAACAGGATATTGAAAACACTTCCTGAGAGTTTACCGCCTTTCAGGTCACGTAGAGTTATGAAGCTCTCATTCTGCAGAGCGAAAAAGTTTTAAAATTAAAAAATGTCAGGATAATAAATCAGTAACAACATGATTTTGAGCCAAAGATACAGAGGACAAGAAAATGGGGGCTATATAAAAAGTGTGGGATATGAGATGTCACAGGACAAAACACAATTTATAAACTGCTCGCCAGATAAGTACTCATTTTTCCAGGTAATGTAACTTCACAACAACACGATGAAAGAAGATCGAACAAACAGTAAAAGAAAGATGGAAAGGCAAACGAAAGAAGATCAAACAACTGGTAAAAGAAAGATGGAAAGGAAAACCTCAGGTTTAATCATATCAATTATCTGGCACAATATATCCTCAAAAAGCACAGGCTCTTGGGCCATGCACTCCATCCGATGCAACTGCTCCTCATAAAAAAATTGTAGTTCATTCCTTGTCAGAACTCCATTTCCGTCCAAATCTATGCACTTGAACCTAATTGTGACATGTTCAAGTCAGCTCATACATTGATGATTTAAAAAATCAGAAACAAGCAAACCACAAGGTCAAATATCAAACATTTTCACTCTTTGGTACTTGGTACAAAGGATGGAAAATATTCCAACTTCCACATAAACAAAAAAAGAAAACTGAAAAAGGTGTATCTCATAATCGATTTGCCTTCATTTCTTCCACACGGTGCTGCCCATATTTTCAATCAGTCCAGTTTCCACGGTTCTAGTTTTTGAAGTACCAAGCATCCCTTAGTAACTCTCTATAGCATTCTAAGAGCTGTTGTTGACAGTACACGTAATCAGCGTAGAAAACTGACACAAAACTTACAATCACATATCAATGCTCTCAAGGAGAAGGGTAAATTAGCACAAGGAACTGGGTCAATATTATTTCACTCTCTAAACTATTCTCTATTGCAACTTGTCTTAAATTATTTACATAACGTTCCACACTTCCAGGAACATAAAAGTTTCATAACCATGGATAAGAGCACATGCACGTGCAAGGTTCAAAATCTAATCAAATAAAACATGCTATGAACATGCTATGAACATGCCCAATAACGCACCATCCTTGATTTGCAACTGCTCAACAACTAATCCGATAACTCCCTTCAGAAAAAGAAATTAAAAAATGAAATGAATAATGAATGGGAAACAAATACCAATACTCAAGACTTGGCTCAGATGATTTATCCTCTTCTGACAGTATGAAGTAAACAAAATCTTCATATCCCATCTTCCCCTCAACCTTACTGGTAAACTTTCTTGGGACCTGAGATAATATTGAAGCAAGTCAAAATCTGCTTTGTCATTAAATGATCTGATAAAACAAAAATGGATGGACAGTGAACCCAAAAATAAAGAATGGGTGCAGGGTTTGTTGCTGAAAACAGAAACAGTTAAATCTCAATACAGAAGCAACATGTAATCCACACAAACCTGAGAAAATATTCTATCAACAATTCGATAGGTAAGCGCATGGTTTCCGTATCTGATAAGGTTCTCTTTGTCTATCAAGAAATCATGATCTGTATCCAGCTCCCAAAATTTGCAGTATATAACATAAAAATGCTCATAAGAGAAGTACCTGCAAACAATTATTAGGAAAAGTAAAAACGACCAATGCATGTTGGTATAAGTATATTTTGGCAGAAAAACACAAGGTCATTGTGTCAAGTTAATGATAATGATATTTCACACAGTATATCTACCTCAAAACCTTATTGATGTCTTCTTCTTCATCAGCGTGCAGCATTGCATCAATTATGTTACCACGCTTCAGCTCCCTCAGTGTAAGACGGCCATTTCCAGATCTATTAATGTAATAATAGATTCTGTATATTACAGTTTCAGCTGGCCAATTAGAGAAACAAGTTAAAAATATTGCACCCAATACTAAAAGGAAAAAGTATTACACCAGAAACCAAAACCAGTTGACACCAAACTATGCATAGATTTCAAAAATCAACTTTAATGAAGTCCCCCTGATATTCAGATGCATGAAGTGTTACTCATTCATAAAAATATAATATTTTATACATTATAATTGCAATTATCAGCAAAAATTGCAAATAAAAAAATATAGACAAAACAAGAAAGCATAAATGGGTTCATCAGATAACCTGTATTTATTGACTAGTAAAACGTAGGAAAATGTAACTTGAAAAATGGAAAAAAAATTATCAAAAAAAATAAAAAAGAAAGAAAAGAAACATGATGTATCAAGGCATTTCAGTATAAACTAGTTGCAGCTATGAACTATAGGGAATATCATGCCAATGCATTAGAGTATATTTACTCCTTATCTTGTTCATTTCACCAACCAGATTTGGCCTCACCTTACCAGACTGACATCATCCCGTAGGTCCTCCTCCAAAAATAGCACACCTAACCACTCCAAATCCTAACCTGACACCTTGTGATCCATACCCACTACCACTCTTTCTTATACAAAAACCACCCATCACTCTACTGTTGGGAGTTGTTCCTTCTTCAATGCTTGGCTCAAGTCCCAAGGGGTTGGAACTCCACTTTGGTGCAAGGCTCAAAGGACACATTATTTGAGTGGTTCAATGCCTCTTCATAATTGATGATCTAGAACCTTCTCCCTTCTCTATATAAGCTTATAGTGTGAGGTTTAGAGACATGAGAAAGAATTGGAATACCTCTAAAGAGAAGTTTGAAGTAAGAGACCTCTTTAGGGAAGTTTGAGAGAACATCACCATTGTAGGTGAGGCTTGAGTGTACCACCATTATTGGTGAAGTTTAAACTTTTGTAACCCATTATTCTCATAGTGGAAGTTTGATTCTAGACTAGTATCCGGTGGGATTTTACTTCTTCTCATTGGAGATGGTTTTCCCACGTTAAAATCTGCTGTGTTCATCTTTCTCTCTCTCTCCTTTACAATTTTCATTTCTGCTGCGTATAGGTCGACCTGGTGAGTTCAGACTGACCTCTCTGATTGTGCCGAGCTTCGAGCTCGACGTTTGACTTCCACAAAAGCTCCTTAGCCGAGATTGAGGGATTGAGTTTGTCCCAACATCTACCACCCGCCAAAACCTCATCACTCCTTAGTCCATCATGTATAAGACCACATGCGAGGTCTCAAGAGTGGCAAATTCGGTATCAGCCCTTGGCAAAGATGAACCAGAATGCCAACAAACTCATTGACTCCCTCTTTAAACCTTCTGGCTCTTGTTCTCTAATAATGACTTCTATTCTCAATCTTTCAATGCTTCTAGTATTGCCTCTGATGATTCATAGGCTATTGACTCAATTGCTACTGAACATATGACCATTTATTCTCCGCATTTTCCACCTTATCTACCATCTTCTGATAATCCTACTATAATCGTGGCTAATGGCTCACGTACCTTAATTGCTGGTTGTGGTATTACCAACCTCCAACCTTTCCTAAACCTGAACAATGTACTTCGTGTTTCCAAGTTTCAGGTCAAGCAAAGTTTCAGGTTAAGGTTCAATGAGTTTGTGAGCTAGATAAATGAAGATTATATTGAATGATATGAAGATAAAGTATGAAACTCCAATAAAGTTATTTTGTGACAACAAATCAGCCATCATCATTGCCGATAATCCAGTTCAGCATAGATGGAATTAAACATATTGACAAAGAATGATATTTCATAAAGGAGAAACTAGACAGTGGACTGATCAACACAACTTATGTTTCTTTAGAGGTTCAGCTGACAGATGTGTTAACTAAATGATTGCCTACAAAAAGGTTTCAGGATCTTACTGACAAGTTAAGGATGACAGATATTCATTCACCAGCTTGAGAATGAGTATTGTAATAGTCCCACATCAGTACCATATACTTCATCATACAGTATTTTCTATAAGTCATTGTAATTATTGTAAAATATTATGTTACCATTATTTAGTCATATTAGAAAAGTAATTATTTAGCAAGGTCTATGTATTAGACTGATGAACCCATGTACAAAACTAGTCAGAAAAAATATTCAGTATTTTTCAATTCAAGTGTTTTGATTTTGAATCCCTCACATAAGATGCCAAAAAAGAAGATACAAAGCGCTCATTTTTCAGTACCATTTTCCCTTTATCTTAAACACTATTTCTTCTACTTTAGAAAATTTATACTCCATATATATATATATATATATATATATATATATATATATATATATGTTCTTACTCAAGAGTTACTCCTACTTATTTTAATGCCTGCATCTATCCTTTTCACTAAACATTACATTAACTTCTTATCCAATATCAGCAACTAGGAATGTATCACAAAGATACAATTTAGAGTCACAAAGGGACCATATCCTGGGTATGTCTCTTTAAGGAAATTGATGATCAGTAAGTGAATTAAAAATTTCTCATGGAAAATGAAGTTTTTAAGAAACTACGTATTAAAAGAATCTTAAACTCATTTGCATCAATCTATAGTTACAAACCATATCTCTCTTGAAACTCAGGTGTGCTCTGCAGGAACTCCAGCCCTGGGTGAGTTGCTAAAAGCTCACGTAGCACAGGTTTAAAATCATCCTGACATGAAGTAGAATATTGTTCTAATATAAGAAAGATGGATACGGAGATAATATCAAAGCCAAGGAAATCAAGTAGGGCCCCTAAAAATATATTGTATCATCCTAGAAAGAAACTGGAACTGAATAAATGACATATTTTGATAAGTATAAGGCCAAGACTAAATTTACCTTTTGGAGGAGTAGAAGGAAATCAAATGGAATGAAAAGCAGAAAGAAAGAAAGAAATAGAATTTTTTATTTTATTTTTTTTCTTAAGAAAAAAACCTGAGTAAGATACTTCAGCTGTGGTTGCTTTAAAATTGAGTATATTTGAGTAGCCATATCCATCGTCAACAGGTTGCCGTTAATCCAATAATCAATAAATGCTTTCCTATAGGAACCGTATATCAAGATTTAAGCATAAGTAATAATAATTACAAGGCCCAAGACCATTCAACAATAGTTGTCTACACCATGAAAAAGGAGAGAATCAAATAAACCATCCTTACTTTTTTTAATCATACATAAGATTTCACACAATAATTCAACCAGCAAAACATCTGGTGCCAAAAGATGGAATTTATGTTCAGAAAAGAAAAAGAATTTGCAAAATGAAGCATTGCTAAACTATAAGCATGATGTCTAGAAACCTACGGCCCAATTAAAATGGTAATTTGTCAAAGAATTTTCTTGTTCAGTGCCAAGCACAACAAGCATCTCAGCCAAACAATGTATAATTTTCAAGGCATATTATGAACTTCTTCTCTATACCTTGGCCACTCCTTTTTAATGTTTCGCTCCTCCTTGTTTGAGCCTTGGACAGTACAGTGTCAAATATTGGATTATACACATTAGAACAAAGAATAAAAAACCCTCATTATTAAATAGAAGAAGATTAAGAAAATGAAATCGGTTTGATATATAAAAACCATTAATATAACATCACCCAACAGCTTAACCTTTTGGGTTGAATTAGTTCTTTACATGGTATCAGAGCCTCGGTATCCTGGGTTCGATCCTCATCGCCCCCACTTTCTCTTATGGAATTTCTTAGCACAGGTAGGTGGGCTTGTGCATTATTCACCCTTCATGCTCAGTGGGCTCTCGTGTGAGGGGGCGTGTTAAAGATATATAAACCATTGATAGACCTTCACTTAATAGCTTAACCTTTTGGGTTGAATTAGTTCTTTACATGGTATCAGAGCCTCGGTATCCTAGGTTCGATCCTCATCGCCCCCACTTTCTCGTATGGAATTTCTTAGCACAGGTAGGTGGGCTTGTGCATTATCCACCCTTCATGCTTAGTGGGCTCTCGTGTGAGGGGGCGTGTTAAAGATATATAAACCATTGATAGACCTTCACTTAATAGCTTAAGCTTTTGGGTTTAATTGGTTCTTTACAAAATCTAAGATATGTTTGAAAACTCAATTTAGTACTAAAAATGAAATCAATCAGCAGTATAGATATTGAAATGTTAAGGAACTCATAGGCTTAAGAAAATCTTCATGTGATGATGGAGATTTCATCAAGCAACCAAACATAACAAACATGATGCTGGTAACTCCTTCAAACACAAATGTGGTTGTACATTGAGAAATTAAAAAGAAAAAAAAAAAGCAAGAGGGAATGGATAATATAGATAAGAAGCCAAGCAAAGGGTCGGACTTCCTATTTGATTAGCCAGTGAAAGAAACTCAAAAAACATCCATTTACAAAAGTAAAATAAAAAAATAAAAAAATAATGCAACAAATGGAGCAGGAATGACTCAAAATTTTGATGCTAGTCCAGCATCTAGACCTAAAACTTTGAAGTGCCCAACAGCTCAAACAAGAATGACCATCCATGGGACACAAAAGTTAAAAAGTTGTGTCCAGAAAAATAAAGTACACACCTTGTCACAAAACCAGTTCCGTCGTCAATCTTTCTGAAAAGAGAAGTGGAAAAAAAAGAAGGCAGCCTGCAAACTTCCTTAGTAATTGATTTGAATTCTGACAAACCAAGGAAACAAGTAAAACAATTCTCAGAACTGGCTGTTACAGCCCTTTATTACATCAGAAAGTGAATTTTATATAGATAAATAGTTTTTTGACTTTTTGCAACATTTAAAATAAGTAATTTTTACTCAACTTAAAGAGATGAGAGTGTGATTAAATAGAAAACTAGAATATGAAACTTATTTAAAATCACTTTTCCCCAGTCGCAACAAACTGGTCCTTCAGGCTATCAGCTACTTATATGTGTCATATCTCACCATGCATCTGCAGGCCATCCAAGTGATCATGGAATAACTGATCGATTTTACTCAAGCATTGTTCTTTCAGTTCATTTGGAGGTGGACATCCATATTGAAAGTAGAACTGCAAGCATGCAAATATTTATGTTAGAAGCATTTACATAGCAGGAATCAAGAGAGAAAAAAGAAACAACATACACACTTACTCACTTAGTAGACCGGGTACATGAGAAAAGTATCACCAAGTAAAATATTACGAGAACTTGACAGTGGTTCCTTTTTAAGATTAATATAAATTATTTGCTGCAAGTTTGTGGGGTTTTAGCAAGCATTGGGTGTGTCCTTCTACTATGGAACAGCTTCTTATGACTACTTATGGCTAGGTAATTGACTTAAGAAAAACAAGGCAAAAATTTGGTGGCAAATAGCAGTTTATGCAATTCTTTGGGGCCTTCGGTTGGAGTGCACTGCTCGCATATTTAAGGGTGTCTTCAACTTGCTCTGGGTCTATGGGATAGGATTGGGTATGACCTTGCTTTGGAGTTTTGTAAATGGCTGTCTCAATAAAAGTTGCTATTTCATATATGCAAGGGGATTGAGAAACTTGATTGCAACTTTTTTCTTCTTCTCTGATGTATTTTGATACATCTCAATAGGGGAAAATATAGATCAACAACAGAATTCAATAGTAGACAGTAGAAATTATGGACAAAAGATGAAATCCACAAATAGTAGAGTCAAAACACAGCAAATGTACAAACACCCAACTACCAAAGGGGCATTGCCCTCCTCTCTGAGACACTTATCAGATCTACAACAGTAAGTTACCTCCTACCCTTCTCCCATAACCCCCCTTCCTATTTATTCCTACATAATTGCCTACCTTTATTGTTTAACTTCTTATATTAACTTCCAACATAACTGCCCTCCCAATAATCTGTTGTCTGCTTATTCCTGCGAGTATACACCTTCCAAATGGGTGGTTTTTACTTAACTGAACCTACAGTCTTGGCAACCATATCATGTTTTTATTTTTCCGTTTTGGAGGATATCTTTTCCTCCTTTTAATGTACTTTCCCTCCCTTTTTTCTAATGAATTAAAAAAAAAAAAAAAAAAATATATCAGACATGCTGAACCTGAGGTATCACTTCTTTAACTGGCTCACTGACAACTTTCAAAGGAGAACCCAAATTAGAAGGCCCAACTCTCTGTTTCATAATACGAGGGGAACCTGACGAACTTCTTGGTGAAAGAGGCGGAGCAGTGCCAGCAGGAAACATGGAAGGCAAAGAATTACTTGAAGCATTTGGACTAGAGCAATTCCCAGGGACATTCAAAGGAACACCTGACTTAGCTTCATTGAGCAATGTTGTTACCTACACAATCAACAAGGGAGATATTCAAACAATATCACAAATGTATATGTTATATTTAGCAGAGTGTTCAAGGAGAACAACATAATCGTTTCAGGAAACCCAAAAATAAAATAAAATACAAAAGGCATAGCATTTTTAACCAGTAATTGATATATTTCAAGTATCACCAAGAGCTTATTTATTTATATGCCTTGGGAATAGGAAGGATTCACAAGAATTGCTATGGTGATTCCTCTGAAGAGATATATGACAGATGAAGTTGATTACTACTGAATACGGTGAGGATAGAAGCATACAGGCATCTACAAAGTAACAAAAAGTCATAATTCTCATGAGGTAAGTGCGTGGAATGCTATAAAAACTCGTGGTATATTGAATTACATAAATTTTGGAGCTGAGGTGATAATAGAACTCCCTATTGGCAATATGTCAATTAACTAAACTTAACGTAAGAATGATGCACCTTTCTCACAAACCTTTATTATCTAAATAATCATTGCCTGATAACCACTGTTACAATCTCACTCCTTTCTACACCACCAGTGCTCTCAAATCACTTCATTCTTCATGCATATATATATATATATATATCAACACAAAAACAACAACAATAATAATAGTAATAATCTAACGAATAGAATAAAAGCAAGTTAATGAGACTCCAAAGTACGCAATGTAGTAATGTGCAGATTCCGAAATGAAATGAGGCCTACCAATCGGTTACTTTCAGGAAGCGACAACCACTGCTCAAAGAGCTTCTCGATGAAATTGAGGTTAGACTTGAGAGCCAAAGCGGAAAACTCTGGGAGCTGCAACAATTCAACGTCCAACGACGCCGCATCAGCGACGACCTCCATGTTCATCTAAACGAATCCCGTTCTAGTATCTCTCATCCACAAACCAAATCAATGAGCACAGAGATCAAAACGAATCCTGTGTTTTTTTTTTCTTCCAACCAGAACAAGTTGAATTTCAATGCCTATAAAATCGAAGCCGCGCGTATAATTATTAGATTCTATATAGAGAGGGAACAAAATGCCGTTGAGATATTCAGATTGCGAGTAGTAGATTCAGCTGGAACCCTAGATTTTTCTGCCATTAGAACCAATCAATTAACAATATGTAATACATGTGGTGGCGGTGATCTGACGATAGATGTTGAATAAATAGAAAGTGAAGGAAAATGAGAGAAAACTATTGCAAGGAAAATTGTGCATAGATCCACGCGATTATGGAGGTAGAAACAGGGAAAGAAGAAATAATTGTGCAGAAGAAAAAGAGAGAGATTTGTTGCATGTATTTTTTTATTTTGCAATGAAAATTGAAAAATTAAAAATTAAAAAAAACAAAAAAATGAATTTTACAAGGTGGACCAAAAGAAGTTGACACGTGCTCGACGTATGGAACATACGATTTACGAATCCAATCACCAGTCACACATACTCGATGACATTACGTAAAGTCAACAACACTTCCATTATACACTTCATGCACTCTTGAATAATATAAGGGTTTTATAAGAGTTATCTCGTAGGAAAATTGATTGTGTTATGTTATAGATATTCATTTTGCGTGCCGAAGTTTTTTTTTTTTTTTGTTGCGGGCTCCACAAAATGTTGTGTGTATAGGAAACTTTTTGTGGTCATGTTAAATGATAGATGATAAACCCATAATATAAATATAAATTAAATTACTGATCCAAGGTATTGAATTCATTGAAGGAGCGTCTTTCCTATCTTATTTATCAAGGTGTCAGCATGTAAAAATTAATTATGCTGACAAATTTATCTGATAAATCTAGTTTAGAAACCACTCTAATTATCATCTGTATGAATTAAACAGGCATATTGATAGGGATTGCAATTAGTTAAGATTGATTTGTAATTTAATATTGCTGTGTTAAATAATTAGTTAATTGATTAGTATTGACTACTAGTATAAACAGAATTTAGAATATGAAATAAAATGGTAAGTAATTTATTTGTAAAACAAAACTGATAATTTTATTAGGTTTTTATATATATTTGATTATTCAATCAACTTGATTCTTGATAGGACAACCAAATTTATATAACCTGATTATTTAGCCTAAATTTTTTTTAGTTTAATTTATTAAAATAGAACGAAATGGAATGAAATGATTAGTTATCATTGTTAAATTATTAAATTTTATTATTGACTTAGTTGTACATTTATCATATAAAATTACACGCATTCTTCTTAATTTACTATACAGTTTTTTCAGTCTCATTAATAACTTTGCAAGTTAAGAACAATCACAATTTTCACGTACATAACTACACAGGTAACTCGGGAGCGGGAACAAAATAATCTTAACTTATGTGAATGAATGATAAATAGTAAAATTAAAATAAAGAAAAAGGTATATAGGAGAGGATCTTGAATTTTTTATTGTTTTTGTTCATATGATAGGGATATGGATGGCTTTTTGACCCTTATGCCCCTTAATTAATAATTAATTACCAAATTGCCCCTCATTCAAAACTATTTCGAAAATTTACCCTCCCCAACAAACATAATACCAATCTGCCCCTGTTTGACCGTTGACCACGAAGCCTACCCGGGTACACCATTACCTACCCGGGTAAATTTTGAAACTTTTTATCTACCCGAGTATGTAGGGGTGTACCCGGGTAGAGTTCTTGAATCCGGGAAAATGTTTGAATTATTTACCCGGGTAAGGAGCAGTGTACCCGGGTAAATCGCGTCCAGAAACCCCAATATGTATGGGTTTCGGCCATTGTTGCGAGGTATAGGGTTTTTGAAACCCCAAATCTTTCTCTCTTACCCTCTCTAATCCGAAACATCACACATATTTCATCTCATCATTTCAGAAAGCTGAATCTTGGTGGGACATTGAGATTACATCTCCACACTCCCATTTTGTGCTAAAAAATCCGAACCAACCTCCAAACCCAAAACCTAGATCTAATTTTTGTGTGAAAGATGAGTTCAAGTCCAAACATGGTTCCTATAGTTATTTACTACAATGGGAGGCATTTTGAAGGTCCGAACGGTGTCCGATTTGAAGGAAAAACAAAAACGATGAAAATCAAAGTGGGCACTACATGCAATGAACTGAAGGAGAGAATTCTTCAAAAAATGGGGTCAGAAGGCATACATTCCATCCACCGCGTATGACATATGTGTGACATACAAATTGATAAAATAATTCGGACAGAATCAAATGATATAAACGAAAATACAATGAATCAGAACAGAAATCATAACATAATTGAAAAAACTGAAAAAAAAATGCACCTTTGATCGATTTCAATCGGTAGAAGGCAGAGAGGTTGCAAGGTCCGCGAATGATGATCACAAACAAGACGAATTAGTGCAAGATTATGCCTGAAATCGCTCAAGATGACACTCCTCCAGCAGCTCTACTCGGGTACCCCTTTTGTGGGTTTTCGAAATGGGGCTGCTGGGGTATTTTAAAACCCTACCGTCGATGTTTACCCGGGTACACTGCTCCGTACCCGGGTAAATAATTCAAACATTTTCCCAGATTCAAGAACTCTACCCGGGTACACCCCTACATACTCGGGTAGATAAAAAGTTTCAAAATTTACCCGGGTAGGTAATGGTGTACCCGGGTAGGCTTCGTGGTCAACGGTCAAACAGGGGCAGATTGGTGTTATGTTTGTTGGGGAGGGTAAATTTTCGAAATAGTTTTGAATGAGGGGCAATTTGGTAATTAATTATTAATTAAGGGGCATAAGGGTCAAAAAGCCGGATATGGATAGGATAAAGTAAATTTCATGAAAATTAAAATAAAATAATAATTAAGGTCTCAATTCACTTGTGTTGTGTTGGATTCATCCCTTATCCATAACTGACCATTCACACGCCCTTCAATTTCTGCTGTTATGTGACAACTGTTTGTCCATGATTTACCAAAAACTGCAACAGCAAACAAAATCATCATCATCATCATCATCATTCATCAATGACAACGGTTTCAACTGAATTTCTGTCGCAGACCCTCCCTTTTAAGCGTACTTGGTATTCAAATTCCAACACTGTTGTTAATTGCACAACCCCACTTCTAAATGAAGGTAGCACTAGCAAACGAAGGAACAACAACAAGAGACATGTCAGGGTTGATTCTTGTGATACAAGGCCGAAAATTGCTCAAAATTACGACTTTCGAGATACCCATCTCATGAAAGCCCTCAACAGATCCTGCAAAGCAGGCAAGTATAACGAGTCCCTCTATTTTCTTCAGAACATGGTCAACAAGGGTTACAAACCCGACGTTATTCTGTGCACAAAGCTGATTAAGGGGTTTTTCAATTCCAAGAAAATTGAGAAAGCGATGAAGGTTATGGAGATATTGGAAAAGCATGGTGAGCCTGATGTTTTCGCTTACAATGCAGTGATAAGTGGGTTCTGCAAGGCTGATAGAATTGATGGTGCAAATAAAGTGCTTGATAGAATGAAGAAGAGGGGTTTCTCCCCTGATGTTGTTACCTATAACATACTCATTGGGAATCTTTGTGGTAGGAGAAAGCTTGATTTGGCTTTAAGGGTCATGGATCAGTTGCTGAAAGATAACTGCAAGCCCACTGTGATCACTTACACCATCTTGATAGAAGCAACCATTATAGAGGGTGGCATTGATGAAGCCATGAAGCTTTTGGATGAGATGTTGTCAAGAGGGCTTCAACCTGACATGTACACTTACCATGCTATTATAAGGGGTATGTGCAAAGAAGGGTTGGTGGATCAAGCCTTTGAGTTTGTTAACAGTATAAGTACAAAGGGTTGTGGCCCAGATGTGGTTTCGTACAATATTCTGCTAAGGAGTCTTTTGAATGAAGGCAAATGGGAAGCTGGAGAGAGGTTGATGTCTGATATGTTCGTAAAAGGTCGTGAGCCAAGCGTTGTGACCTACAGCATTTTGATTAGTTCGCTATGTCGTGATGGCAAAGTTGACGAGGCTGTGAATGTGTTGAAGGTTATGAAGGAGAAAGGGTTAAGTCCTGATGCTTATAGCTATGATCCATTGATTTCTACTTTCTGCAAAGAAGGCAGAGTAGATTTGGCAATAGAGTTATTGGAGACTATGATCTCTGATGGTTGCTTGCCTGATATTGTCAACTATAACACAATCTTGGCCTGTCTATGCAAGAATGGAAAAGCTGATGAGGCTTTGAACATCTTTGAGAAGCTTGGTGAAGTGGGTTGTCCTCCAAATGCAAGTTCTTATAATACAATGTTCAGTGCACTATGGAGTAGTGGGGACAAAATTAGAGCACTGGGGATGATTTTAGAGATGTTAAGCAACGGTATAGATGCTGACAGGATCACATATAATTCACTTATATCTTGCTTGTGCAGAGATGGAATGGTGGATCAGGCCATTGGGTTGTTAGTGGACATGGAAAGTAGCAAGTGTAAGCCTACAGTTATTAGTTACAACATTGTTCTTCTTGGGTTGTGCAAAGTGCACAGAATCATAGACGCCATTGAGGTGCTAATAGCCATGGTTGACAAAGGATGTCATCCAAATGAAACTACCTACACTTTATTGGTAGAAGGGATTGGTTTTGCTGGATGGCGAAATGAAGCGATGGAGCTGGCTGATTCCCTTGTTAGTATGGATGCTATTTCTGAAAATTCATTCAAACGTTTACATAAAACCTTTCCCATGCTTGATGTGTACAAAGAGCTCGCTTTATCAGATCAAACTAAATTCTTGGCATAAACCTGATTTATCCAGGTGTTTTTGTTCAGCTCAATTTAATGAGTTCTATGCTAATTTATTTATTTCTGTTAAGTTTAAGGGGCAGTTAATATCAAGCGGACAGTCATTGCTTCTGATCAAGACACTGTTATCCAGCCTTTGATGCATTGAGTTTGTAATTATTGCTACCCAATGACTTATAAAAAAGTCTGTCAAAATGCATACGTTGTGTAATATCATAACTTAATGTGTACAAAGAGCTCGCTTTATTAGATTAAACTAAATTCTTGGCAGAAAACTGATTTATCCTGGTGTTCTCACATGAGAATTTTGTTCAGCTCAATCTAATGAATTCTTTGTTAATTTATTGCTTTCTGTTAAGTTTAAGGGGCAAAAAATATCACGCGGACAGTCATTGCTTCTGATCAAGGCACTGTTATCCAGCCTTTGCTGCATTGAGATTGTAATTATTGCTACCAATGACTTATAACAAAGTCTGTCAAAATGCATACGTTGTGTAATATCATAACTTGAAAACATATCATTAAGACTTATGAAGTTGTTAAAATAATATGAATCAAGCAAAGCGAATTCGCAAAAATATGAAGTGTGTATAAAACGAAAGGAAAAATGTTTCTAGAAATCAGCACAAAAAGGCAAATGCTTTTAATAATTAGGGTGATTGTTAAGTTGATAACGCATTTGCTTTTTTTGAAGTATAAAAAAAGTTTTGAGACCTCCAAAAGTTCCTTTCCTCTTTTTATAATTAAGTGGATTCTTAGACTGGCTTCTCTAAACGAAAATACGAGTATCATTACACTAGAACCTTTACTTAAACATCTCTCTTGCATTTAGGATTAATGAGTCACAAACTGCATCATACCCATTTTGAACCAATAGCCGAAGTTCACATTCATGTTTCTTCTACACACAAAAATGAAAAAAAAAAAACCTAAGAGCAAATGTATATGTGCAGCATAGCGACTGACTTCAATCCCTTTTAGATGGTACACAATGCCATTAAGTCAACAAAAACGAGCTTATAACTACCAAAACCAAAAAAAGGATCACAATACACTGTTTATCCACATCGAGTTTTCTAAAATCTGCAAACTTGAAGATTGGATTGACATTAAAAATAATTTGACACGAAGACGTGTTCATGTCAACTTCAGCTACCGATCCTGTTGGACTTTGCAGTTCCCAAGTGAATATCTATCAAAACTTCCCAACAACTATATCCTGGCAATGGCAAATACACGCAGTAAGAGCTTACTTCAAGTCTTAAAAGAGGAGAGGGAGAGACCATGATTTATTACATAAAACTACCACTGGAACAAATTCTATCTTTGAATAACACCATGATAGGAATACGACAATAAGAATTTAGTAAAGAGACTTCCTACTTAAATGGATATTCTGATATTCAAAAGGTGAGATCGCACCAGAGAATGAAATTATATTTAAGCAAATGAATACAAGGATTGATAGCCTCATGCTTCGCATACCATGGACATATCATGTCAAAACAACCCTAAGCATACACTAATACACTATAATTTCAGCTTAAGGTCAGTAGTATTAAATTATGCTTACTTTAGTAAAATATAATAACATTGAAGATGATCAAGTAACCCCAGACATGCAAGGAACAAGGTAAATCACAAGCTAACATAAAAAGGGGGGAAATGCACTTAAACCATATAACGTGATGACAGATTTTTTTTGTTAGAATAATTATAAAAATAGCTGCATCAAGCCATCAACATAAAAAATGGCATGAACAAGAGGCACAAAACTTGTAGCCATCATTAAATTCAACTGATGATTAACAGCTCTCACGAACAAGGAATCAGATACTCTTCTTCTCAGAAGAGGATATGTTCCCCAAGTTCTCTATATCTCTCTAGTCTTTACATGATTAGAGGGAAATTGAGAGAACTTGGGGAGTATGACACCATTCCAATCAGGAGAGGATCAAAATCCCACAAACAAAAAGGATTAAAAAAATCACCTGATATGACTGTATAATCTGTACATGGCCAGAAGAGTTTGAGATTTGGCCAATCTTTATGTGCAAACTCCAACTAATTCAACACAATTTCCTCTTTTAGAATCTTCCATTCGATCAACCTCTGATGCAGATCATTAGCCTCTCTTACCATACCCCCGTCAGCCACAGCTTTAGTTAAAGCATAATATATCCTCTCATCTGGCTTGCACTGACTTTTTACCATCAAATCTAGAGCTTGAATTGCAACATCAACCTTCCTTTGTTTGCATAATCCAAGGATTATACATCTATAAGTAGTATTTTTTATCTTTTGTCCGTTCTTATACATCTCCTTTAATAGCTCCACAGCTTCCTCAAGTTGGTCCACTTGGCAAAAACCCCTAATTAAACAACTGTGAGTAATTTCATCAGGAACAATTCCTTTTTCCACCATTTCATCATACAATTTTTTTGCCGATTCTATAGATCCCATTTTAGCCAACCCATCAATTACGGTATTATAGGTGACCAACACAGGAGAACAGCTAGTACCTACCAATAGGTAAAGCAACTGGATGCCCTCATCTATAAACCCTGCTTTACACATAGCACTTAGAAGCGTATTGTAAGTTATAATGTCTGGTGAACAGTTCTCAGAAACCATTGTGCTGTAGAGGCTTATGGCACGATCCAGAAGTCCAGATTTACATAAACCATTTAGCAGAATATTATAAGTAACAAGTGAAGGAGGACAGGAAGTCTCATTCATAATCTTCACAATATCATCAACTTTATCCCAATACCCATGGCTGCTAAGAGAGTGGATAAGAGTATTGTATGTCACAACATTGGGCAGCAACCCATGGGATAGAAGATTAAATATAACCAAAGCACTATCCTCATATTTCCCTCGTTTAGAAGTAAAATTTAGAAGAGCATTGTATGTAACGATATCGGGATAGCAGCCTTCCATTGCCATATCTTCCAGTGCTTCTAGGGCTCGAGTAGCCCCACAATATCTGCAGACCAGCTCAAGAAGCACAGTATAGGTAATCAGATAAGGAGGGCACCCTTTTCTCAATTGGTCCTTCCAGAAAGTAACAGCCTGGCTGAAATTTCCCTTTTCAAATATGCAGCGAATTATTCTATTATAAGTAATTGCATCTGGGGAGCAACCACTCAAGCTCATATCTTCTACCAGATCAACAGCAGATCTTAAATGACCAATTTTACACAGGCCACCAATAACCATGTTGTACGTAATTATATCAGGAACACCGCCAGACATGACCATAATCTTCATGACTTGGCAAGCTTTATCTACCTGATTGTTTCTGATAAAACCTCGAATCAAATTTTCACAAGAAGGGAAATGGGGTATTTGGCTTTTACGTGCCATAATATCAATCAACCTTGCTGCAGTCATTGACCTCCCCTGAATGCATAGTTTCTGAAGAATTTTATTGTTATTCTTCTCATCATTTCTGACAAATGGTCCCTCTGGTAACATAGCTGGAGAATCTATAGACTTGTTTGAATCCTCTAGTTCCCTGGATTTTCTCCTGTCCCTAACATAATAACTTTCAAAGCCCAAATCTTCATGGTCAACTTTATTAACTCTATCAATTAAAACATTTCCCTGCAAACTTCTACACTGCAACCCTTTCCGCAGCAAAGGATATTTAGTTGTACAAAAGTAATCACTAAAACAAATTTGGTGTAGCAAAGGTGATTTGTTACTTGAACTACGATCCAAAGCAGAACTAGCACCCAAAATACAACTCTCTTGTTTGTTACACCCACGCAGACCATTCAAAGAATGGAAGCAGAAAATATTATTTTGCAGAGTAGCTAAATATCCCATCTTTTTTGTTCAAGTATATTGATTGGACTCTCTCTCAAGCTATGAAGATATATAAACGGTGTACTTTTAGCTATTTATACCTTCTTGCTCAATTAATCCCAATAAACAGATCAGTTATGGAACTGGAAGATTGATAAAATCCACGTAGACAGTAAGACATTCACCTTATCCTCTTCTCACTTGATATGAAAAACCAAGCTGTGAAAATTCAAAACAATAACACGTATCTTAGTTACAATAAATATACATGAGAAATAGCATACAACAAGTAGAAAGAGACGGTAATAATCTAAAGGAAAGCATTTCTTAAAACCATCATCATGTAATAATCTAATAAACATCATTGGTAGGGGAAGGCATGTTTATAGTTGAAATAGTGAAAGTTACACTGCTTCGTACATTACAATTGGTAGAAAAATGAAAGTAACCGTGTGTTTAATATACTTTGTTCTGTGATTGTCTATGCAACTAATGGATAAGACAACGTTACAGACAAGAAGTTATACCGTCGATGTGGGAGGGACGACAGATGACGGTCAGTGGTTCAGGTCACCGGCGGCGGCGACGGCTGCAGAATGAAGGAGTCGGTGTGTTAGGGTGAAATAATCTGTTTCTAATGTCTGTGAAGGGAGGAGCGAATTTTTTTTTCTTAAACCCCTAAAAAAACCCTATCTCTGCTTGTCAGAAACAGAGGATTTTTACTTACCAAAAGAAGAAAAAGAAATAGAGGGTTTTTATTTTTATTTTAATCCCTATTTGACCCAAGTTGGTTCAGTGGGTTCAAAAGCAAACAAACTTATTGGATCAGTTATATATCTATCCAAGTTAGTCGAGGAGAAATTTTTCGAATAATAGAGAAATATAATTGATAAAAAAATAATTAGAAAGTGAGTTAGGTAGGAAAATGTAAAAAAAGTTGTTTGATTGGAAAAAAACTTACCGGGCAAATTAGGTAAGATTTATAAAGTTTATATTTGGTTTGAGGTAAAATATAGATGGAAAAATAAGTGACAATTACGAAAATATCCTTGTTTTCCATTGATTTGGTTATTCCTTTTTTGTGCCTTTCTAATCATAAGCGTTGGTCTTAATTGTATAGCTTGGTTTAGGATTTGTAATTGCTGAACCTGTGTTGTCTAGTAACATTGACTTCTCAAAGTTGTTTTGTGACCGCAAGGACTACATAGTTGCCACGTGTCAAGGCAACAACTTGAGTGAGAAAATCGATGACCTTCTCCAGGATGGTGGCATCAGCTATGAGGAGTTTATGGTCGTATCAGTTGGCTTCTTTTCTGGTTGAGAACCCTTATATATTTGGTTGCTTTCAGAGGGTATAATGGTCTGGAATATTTTGTCAAAAAGTGGTTTACTCGGCTATCCACAAAAAACCACCTCCAACATCTCTTTCTAAACAATGAAAAAAGCTAGCATTGGAAGACAATATTGAAAATGCTATGCAAATAGCATGACTGGGGAATCTCAGTGAATCTGTTGAACCGAACAAGTGCAAAGTGGATTGCTTGCTTCATTTGCATAGGAAAATCTTAAAAAACTGTCAACCAAACACCACCTAAAGGGGTATTTGGTATGGGAAAAAATTTTATAATCGAGAAAAAAAAATATTTTAGAGTATGGTGGAAATTTTTTTGATCTGGATAAGTTACAAAAAGATGTTTGGTAGGTGCTAATTTTTCTGGAAAAGGATTATTTTTACTAATACTATGTTTGGTTGATGATGAAATATTGATAGGAATGTATAATGAAATTACAAAATTACCCATTATGTTCAAAATTTTAATTAGAGCAAGTACGTTTTAGCAATCCATTATGTTCAAATACATTTTATTCATGGCATTTTGGTCTTCAAATTGAAAAGGAGGTCTGTTCATTACTCAGATTAAAAAAATACCATGTTTCAAAGTGCATTTTTTTTTTTGCAGTCTAGTACAAAACTATTTTGACTGGCATTTGATAAATTAAACACATACCAAATATGATAAATGTATTTGACCTACACCACTTTTCCAAAAAATTTATCGGATTCTCCATACCAAACACTCCCTAACAGTTAACCGCCCGATCCAACCCAAAAAAAAAATGATTGGGTCGGATTAAGTTAATTATGGGTTGATCCGACCCATGATCACAACCCTAAAACTCAAACGCTTGCTGCCATTACATATTTGCACACCGAGTAACGACAAAATCAACCGAAACAATTCAGGCTTTATTTTCTTGAAAATCATTAATCGATTACCACGTAAAATGTCCGATTGAATAAAAAAGGTTGGAAAAGTAATTGTGGAAGTGAGATAAATAAAGGAAATAAGTATTATTGTTTAAGGACCTAGATTTATGATAAAGCATATGTAATTAAGGGACTGAACTATATTGATCCGGGAACTGAATAACATGTTTTCTATGTAACATTTATGTGCGTTGTCATTACAATGGCATATGTGAGCAGCATGATTGTGTGTTCCTCATGTGAGAGAAAAGTTACAATTGATAAGCTTCCTTAAGTACTCTTCAGTGTCAAGAATTTGATTACAGCTTACTACTTTCAACCATGAATTCACTAGACAATAGCTATGGAGCTAGCTATATTGCCAATGCTTTCACAGGGGTTTTGACCAGTATTTTAAAACTCCGTTCGAACCGGCCGGGTCAACCCGGTAACTGGTAAACTGATCCCTTGCCCAGTTCGAGTTATACATTGAAAGCTATCTGGAAATTCGCATATGAAAACAACATTGACTAGGTTTGTGTTAACCCAGCAATCGGCCACTTTAGCAAGCAGAGCTTAACACAAGAACTGCTGAAATTTTAAATCTAATAAATGGTGATTTTGGTTTACGCATTATGTTATGCTGCAGTAAAATTCTACTTTCAGCTTTGTCTGCATCTGGGTTAGGTGATGTCTTCCAACTCAACTGCTTTTTCTGTCTCGGGAATTTTAATCGTTATGCTACATGAGAATATGTTCCCTTCTTAGTTCTAGCTTGATTAACTTTTCCACAGACACAATAGATGTTACCAAATATTCAACAAAGCAGTTTTGTTATGATACCAAATGAGAAGGTAGCTAATGACTGTTGAATCTTCTAATACATTCATTATTACTCGTAGAGTTTGGGGGTTCACATTACAGGTTCATGCCCTATAAATTTGTGTGTTTAGCACCATTGGTAAGAGGCTCAAACATGTAGGAACCCTTTCCAGGTTTCATTTTGTTGACTTGCACCGTAAGGTATCATTATTTATGCCCGTGACAGCATATTAAAAAAGGTCAAACACGAGAAGTCCCCAAAGATTAGGTGAACAACAACGAATTAATATATTGCTATGTGCTTAAAAAATATTCCAATTTTGTTCCCAGACAAGAATTTTCCTCTTGCTTAGTAGAATAAATCTTTCACTTGATTGATGTAGGTTCTCAAACTTTTCCAAATGATTCTTATGGTTGCACTTGGGAGGTCTAATAGTGAAGGAGTTGAATCAAATGACACAAGCATATATACTAATTTTTTATTTTTTTACCACTAAAAAAAAAAAAATCGTTTCATACCGGGCAATTTATGCTGGTTCGCATAGATAATTTGTTTTTGTTTTTTTACATTGGAAATGAAGTTTAAAATAAGAATAGTATTTAATAAACAGCACAAATTTCCCAGGACACAATTATCTGAAGGTCAAGTTTTATTCTATTTTATTTTATTTTTTTGGGTTACGGTGGAAAATATATTTCACATGGAAAAAATATTCTATTTCGAAAACTGTTCTACTTGGTTAAGTTGGTAGTATGCCTTAAACGGACTCGGCCTAAATCACTTGTGCAGAACACCCTTCCTTGGAAGTTTCGGTTTCTTCTGGATTTGGTTCTGCCATACAAGCAATAAAATAAGCAAATTAGACACATAAGAGGATGCATTAACTGTATAATTTCAAACTATTGGAAAGGCAAATTGCTACCTTCTGTTTATCCAGTGCCTCGTAATCTGTCCTCTCTTTCCACTTGCTTTTGCGTAGTTTTATTGGCCGATTTCCAACATATTTACCTAAAATCAAGACATTAAAGTCATGATACATAAGTCATTGCATTTGCTACAATATTCTCTGCCTGGATTGACAGGATTCTATGACAGAAATTGGATAGGCCATAAATCCATTCATGCATAAGAGAAACAATATTACATTAAATAGGGTTTTGGATCGTACAAGCTATTATTAGTATATACTCCTATAGGGCTATATCATGTATGCTTGTGCTTGTATATGATTTTCAATTCTTAAATATTTCAAACCTTATAATTCCAAACCTCTCTGTTGATTTCAGTAAACCTGTATACGGGGACTCATACAAGTAAATATTATCTGAAATCAAAATATTTACACTGTATCAAAGCTTATAAGTTCATACATCTCATAATAACAGTTAAAAGAGAACAGGCCTCCTATGGGGTTTTCATAAAAGGGTCACCCATATAAAAGAAAGGAACACAATACAGAACAGAACAGTAGAGAAGACATGCATAGCAAAAGTCGGCAATTTACTAACCATTCATTTCTTTAAGAGCGGCAGCGAGGTCAGAAGGATTGGCAAAGCTTATAAATCCATAACCCTTTGTTTTTCCAGTCCGCTTATCTCTGACAACCTAGACAAGGTCAAACACACCTTAATCGCAACACATTACAAGGAAAGTACATACACCACAAACACATTGTAAATAATAAACGTTTAAGATCGTTTAGAGCCAAGCAAAACGAGATAATTACAAATTCCAGACAGACAGACTACCATGTGCGGATAAGCCTAAATTTCTTTAGATAGAATTAACTATATCTCCATTCTCTAATAACCCGCATTCTTCTTTCCAGCTATCAAAACTTAGAACAACAAATTTCTCAGTTACAATGACAGTTGCTAAACACATTTAATTTTTTATTTTATTATTATTATTATTTAAATAATGGACATACATAAAGCAACTCAGGAGGTGGGTGCTGATTTAGCTCCTAATTTCCACCAACTTATAAAATATGCAGATTGTTAATTATTCACAAAAACTCTACATGGCAAAGAATGGTCTTCACCCAAAAACTAGTTAATAGACAGAACACAATGAAGACCGATTTCCCAGCTCATGTTTTCAATAACCACTATTTAACCAATCTTCTCATCCTAAGTGAATTTAAGTACACCCATATCTCTGGCTGACATGCAAAAGCACTGAGTCCCTCCCAGCCCTCCCTCCCGGGTGAGGGATTTTCATATGCCAAATTTAAAAGCTCCTTTGCTAACACATTAATTTCATCTAAACCAAAAAATATCCTCAAATATTGATGAAAGAATTCCACATTAATTTCTTGCAGACAAATACTTACTTGCGTCTAGAATTATTTCTTTCTTAATTCTTATACCCAAAAAAATACATTGGTCGAAAGAATTCTAAAAATAGTTAGAAAGCCATATAGGTTAAGGAGTTGAATAGAGTGGGACAGGTAAAAAAAATAAAAAATAAACCCGGTTGAAAGATTCCACGTTCCTATTAACCTTCCACCAACTCTTCCAAATTTAAACTGGTTAACCAATACTCAAAAGTCAACCTAATTCCAACTGACTTTTGAGATCTTAAAAAATTACAACTACAAGTCAGAACATTAATCTTAAATGAATTGACCATTCAATTCAAGTGCATTAAACTATGTCACCGTTACACAATTCTAATTGCCCTTGATTTGTGAATAATGAGCAATGACGAGAGAACACCAGGGATGACAAAATAACACATCAAAAAAATGTCTAATCAAATGTAAATTATCAAGCAAGACCTACCTTCAGATATACAAACCATACCAACATCCATTGGTTCAAGTAGTAAGATGTTTCATCTCATTAACCAGAGGTCTCGACTTTGAGCCCTCGGAATGGAGACAATAGTCTTGGGAGAGCCGCTCCCTATATTGGTCCGATAGTGCTCGAACCGGATTAGTCGCAATCGATGAACCAATTGGGAAAAATTAACAACTCTGTCCCTTCAAACAAAAATTTGAAGAGGAAATAGAAAATGCTCATACTAACCCAATCATTACCAAAAATAAAAGAATTGGAGTTATATAAGAGATCCACTTACTCGTGCCTTATTAAAGGAAGGGAACCGTGAAAATGCTTTTGAAAGAACATCATCATTCACTTCATTACCAAGATCACCACAAAAGAGCCGATAATCATCTGATTATCAAAAAAAAAGAAAAAGAAAAAGATAGATCAATTCACGAATCCTCATCTAATTTGTTTGAGTGTCTCTCTCTCTCTCTCTCTCTCTCTCTCTCTCTCACACACACACACACACACACACACAGAACAGGATACTAGATCTCTACATCACAAAGATAAGGAGCAATTCGTAAAGCGAGCCAATCACTTTATGAAACTATACCCATAATAAAAATTGGTAAAGACCAGGGGATTTATTATATTACTAATCGAGAAGCCTGGGATTATGTGTTAAAAGAAAAATGGTGGAAATAAAATAACAAGGAGCCAATGCCTAAAAAAATAAAACACTCAGAGCAGGTAAATGAAACTTCAGCCCCTTAATCACTAACTTTAATTTCTTAAAATATTATTCAGAACCTGTTTAATAATATAAGCAATCAAGCAGAAATTAATATCAAGTAAACAGTGCAGTCTATATAAAAGACCCCAAATGATAAATCAGTAATTCACGACACCTCAAATGTATGTCTTCAACAGCAATCTCTGCCACAAATCTTAATACTTTCACCAATGGGCCCATTGGCAAACCACAATGAGTGGTCTGACATCATATCTCAACCAAAAACCTTAAGGCAATGAGCCTATGAGTCTTTTCAACTCATATATTATGGTCTGCACTTGGTGCATTTTTAATGTGTGACTTCCCACTCACTTAAATTCTATTTCCAACATTCTCCCCTCAAATGTGAGTCCTGAAATCATGCTCCTCCTCAAGGACAACTTCCTTTAAACATTGGAGTTACACTACACCAACATTCTCAAAATACTCAACCCAGCCAAACCATTGGCCCTGAAACTAATGTTGGATTGGTACAGGGGATACTTCCATTAATGGGTCAAATGGCAAAATACTAAGTTTGGACTGACACCATATCTTAACCCAAAACCTTAAGACAATGAATTTATGAGTCTTTTCCGTTCATTTTTAGCCAAGGTGTGACTTCCTACTCACATTTGAATTATATTTCCAAGTTATAAACCAGATCATGACTGCTACTATAATCACACTCCACAAGTTAAAAACTTTCTTCCTAAAAGCCTAGTACCATCAGTACGTGCGTGTTTTACAAGTTCCATCCCTCACCAAAATCTTCAAAAGTCAAAATAATGAATGCAATTTCCATATAGGCTGGCTTGGGGACAAAAAAGAAAAACATACGCACGCAATCCAAATTACTTCCACAAAACCGAATTAAGGAATGATAGATTATCATTCATGAGAAAACTTTCAAAATACATAAACAAAACTAACGAATAAACAGCAATAACTAAAAACATCAACGCACCTTCTGGCCACTCTGCAAGAACAGGATCCTCCCAAGTTTGGCCAGCAGCTTTGCGAGGAACCGCTTTCTTCTTGGTCTCAGCTTTGTACTCGACGTCACTGCTCGCAATCGCTGCCTTGACACTCTCAAGAGCCTCCGGTGTTATTATCTGTGCATCCCTCTCAAATAATTGATGTGCCTATTCAAACACAAAACATTCAATCAATTATATCATACCACATTCTTTCTTTTCTTATTTCTAAACACGAACGACACCACCGACCTGATATTGGGGAACGGAGTATACGCCGGCCACCGGCGGCGGAAGAACGGGACCAACAACTGGAGGCGCAGGGATTTGTACAGCCGGAGCCGCGACGTACGATGTACTGTAGTGAGGGGTTGTAGGTTGCTGAAGGTGAAAGGGCACAGGGAAGTAGGTGGTGTTGGCATAGGCGAACTGCGATTGCGTGAAAGACGGTGGTGTTGCCATGGAATTGTGATGAATGGCGCAACTCGATACGGTTATGTGGTGTTTGGATTAGAAATGACGTTGCTGTTTGGTGTTTGGATTTCGTTGATGTCTCCAGAACTTTCATGAGGATTCTGGGTGGGTCCACCCTAACTATCATATATATGTGTGACAGTTTAACTACGGGCCTAAAAATTGTAGAAAGAAGAATAGCAGTACCAACTTGTCTGGGCTATTATGATGAGATAAATGATCCACCACTCACTCAAACCAAAGGTGATTATTCACTTGTTCTTTTCTATCCTTGTTTAGGTTATATCAATGTTTAACGGGTTTTAGTCATTAATTTGGATAATAGATAATGGGAGAGTGACCATTTTGCTACACTTCACCAAATTATTTACCAAATTGCCACGCGAACAGTAAAAATTCTCGGAATGCCACGCGGCATAATTCGCTACACGGTACAGCGAATTATGTTTGCAAATAATTCGCTACACAGTATAGCGAAATATGCAGCGTCAGGCTGCACAGTCAGCAAAAAAGACACATGTCAAGTAATTCGCTGGGGTGTGTAGCGAATTATGCCTGTTATGCTGTCAGCTTGACATGTGTCATTTTTGCTGACTGTGCAGCCTGACACTGCATATTTCGCTACACTGTGTAGCGAATTATTTGCAAACATAATTCGCTGCACAGTGTAACGAATTATGCCGCGTGGCATTTCGGAAATTTTTACTGTTCGCGTGGCAGTCTGATAAATAATTTGGTGAAGCGTGGCAAAATGGTCACTGTCCCACAGATAATATTCAACTCATTAAGGAAATAGGTTTTTTTTTATTTTCTAAAACATAAATAGGTTCTTTTTTCTAAAAGAAGAAAACTTTTTTAAGGTACAAAAAACAAATTTCAAAAGTGATGAAAAAATTTTCAAACCTGAAAAAAAAAAAACATATGTATTGAGTTGGGTACATCTGATGCACCAAAGATTTATCCTTAAAATACATACTTCTTGTCCAAAAATAAAAAAATATGGGATATGGGTGGAAATAAATATAAAGACAAGAATAGTGTAAAAATGTTACTTATAGGGAAAAGTGTTTGTCATTTTAAATGACATAACATTCTGTCCTTTTAAGTGAGAGACAGACATAGAAAAAAAATTATTTAAATTTTAAATTAAAAAAAACCCATCCATTTTCTCTCTCTCATGATTTCAATTTTTCTGTGTCTATCTCTCTCTATCTCTCTCCTAATATGACATAATTTATGTCATTTAAAATGACAAACACCAAACCCTTTATTATATTTGATAAAAGGAGTAACAAGTACTTTGTGCTCTTATGGAAAATATTTTTCTAGTCAAGGTTAAATTATATGTTTAATTCTCATTATTGTATTTAAAAAATAAAGTAATATTTCTGTATTTATTTTCAAAACGACGTTATTTTGAGATTGAAAGATTAAAAAATTATCATTATAAAGACTAAAATAATTTTGAAATAAATTAAAATTACAAAATCACAAGATTTTCATCTCAAAACGACATCATATTAGGCTTATTGCAAATAACTTATATGTAGTGACTGCAGAAAAAAAGTGAACTCTTTCAAAAAAAAAATTAATCTGAGAAGAACTTTTGATATTTGATGTGAGAAAAGGAGTGAGTCGAGTGACAAAAGAACGAGAAGAAAATAAATTAAGGATTGTAATTAATGATTGTTTCAAACAAAAAATCCATGTTCAAAGGAAAATTATTTTCCCTTCTTTTGGTTTGTGAGCGGCTTTTTTTTTTTTCGGTCAAAGTAAGTTAAGCGGCTAAAGTGGATGATGTTGGGCTGAAAAAAAACTATTGGCTTCTCATCGTGGGCCTGTTTTTATGGAATTAAATATTAGTCCTTGGTTTTAACTTACTTCTGTTTAAAATTTCAATACAGCATCCTCGTTTTTCTTTCATTCTTTCTTTTCGTGTGTACGGAGCTCAAGGTTTTTTAATACTGTACAAAATACACGTGATGAGAAGTTTGTATAATTTTTTTATTTAGAGCTTGTGGGAGGCACGAAACCTATTCTTTTATACCAGTGAAATAACATGAGCACTAGGGTCCTGTGGAGATTTATTTATTTAAATTTTTGGACATGATCTCGAGATGGATTATAAAACTACTTTAAAAGCAATAAATAAAAAACAAATAATTATATTCCTTTAGCAAACATTGGGGATATCAATTTAATAGTTTCAAAATACGGAGAAGGAAGATTCTATTATACTCCTAATACTTAAATATTATCGTCTAATTACAAGCATTTTCTTAATTAAAGATAAATAAAAACGAGAGTTTTGATGCATAACACGTGTCTGTGTTGTCTTTTAAGGCGTATTTTTTATTTTTAAACAAGATAAACAGTAAAAAGTACATTATAATATAGAGTTTATAAAAATATTAGGACTACAAAATAAAATATTCAGTTGTTATTACAAAGTAAAATATTTTTATTTAGTTTTTCCATAAAAAAAATATATTTTTATTTAATTTAATTAAATAATAATGTTTCTATATCAGAAAATACTAATTATTTTAATAAAATTAGAAATAAAAAAGAAGAGTCTTCTTTCATTAGCTAATGACTATTATTAAATACTTTTTCAATATAACAAGTGCAAGTGCCTATAGATTAAAAATAGAGCCATCAAAGTGAGTCGCAACTCATAAATTAACTTGGCTCAGTCTACTAAATGGTAGGTTAGATTACACTAAAACTAATTTACCAAAAATTTTTCATTATTTTCACTCTGCTCACGTAACATATTCTAACTTCCTTGATAAAAAAAAAAAAAAAAAAAAAAATTATAAGAAAAAATGTAAATACAACGTATGCATCAAAAAGGGAAGAGGTCCCCCACCATTTGCGTGGAAATATGATCCAATCCATCGTCATTGAAGTCCCCTAAACTAAGAGCAAACCAAAATGGAAAAATTGATGAAGGCAAAAGATGGAAACTGAGAGCACAACGCACGATTTTCGTTTCCGTTTGCATTTGTGTTTGTGTTTGGAACGACGATCCACGTGGCTTGGGAGGAGGGCACGAGAATCAACGAAGGCGCGCATGGTGTTACGTGGTGCCGACAGGTGGTACACATGCCACGTGGGCTCACGCGCCTTGTGGGGACCATAAGAGCTGCACGTGTCATTCGGCCGTTGATTGCGGGATGTTTGTACGGTGCCCAATTTTTCATAGTTTATCGAGCCAAATACTAAATAATCGATTGCAGCTGTTAAATATTTAACCCACCCTCTTTATTTACAAAAAAAAAAAAAAAATATATATATATATATTTAACCCAACAACCCCAAATATCAAAAGCCATTTCAATCCGGAAAGTAGCTTAACCTAGGAAATTTACCCGAATGTTACAAAGAATTTTTTTTGCCAAAATGTCATGATAGCAAACCTGTTATAAGTGTTTAAAATGTCATGCAGCACGATTTCTCAGGCCACCAATTACGTTGTCAACAGCAAGTTTAGTGTTCAAAGAAGTCAGAACGTTTCTGTGCCAAGGACACATGGCAGCTAGAACTTATTGTCAGTAAAAAAATTCTAGACTCACGTAATGATAACATGTAACACAAAATTTTGAAAATGTTACTACAAAATTTTCAAAAGGCCACAATTTTTAATTTGAATATTCAAAATAGGTAATTTTTTTTATTTTATTTTATGTAACTTTTGAGATTTACATGCTAGAAAATCCCGAGTCAATTTTTATTTCAAAAAAATATTTCCTTATCTTCCGTTTGGCACATTTTGGTTATGTGAATGATGTTACCTAGTTTCTATTTTTATTTTTATTTTTATTTTCATTTTCAACACTAAAAAATAATCTTACAGGAATTTGTTAGTGTATAAATATCAAAAAAGTACGTGGAACAAAAAACAATTGTCCGATTCAAACACTGGAATTAAAAATTATGACTTTCTAAAAATGAGTTAACTAATCTTACCATATATTCATTACTAATTTTTTTTTTTTTTTTTTTTTTCATTACTAATTTTTGATTGTATCATATGATAGTTGAAACCCGTCACCATTAACACGGGATTGGACACCGTGGTATTTTGAAAAAATAAATTTCCCCTAGATAAAATCTTTTTAAAAAAGTTGTGGCAGTACCATCAATGTCCCCACTCCCCACTACCACTAGTTTGTGTGACTCTTTTCATTTATTTTATCTTAATTCACTTGTACTAGCATTATTTCATTTGGTGCTTGTCCATCTTTACTTTCTCTTGTTAGTTTCACGTCTAATCACTTTAATGCTAATTAATCAACTTTTAGCGTGAATTTTTAAATAATTCGTATTTAAGCTTTTATTTGAGATTTTTTTTATAAAAATAATTAACACTGAACATATTTTCAGTAAATTAAACTATAAAGAAAATTTTATCTGAAGTTTATAATTTAGAATTTATTGAAAGTAATATAAGGCTAAGCTCATGACCAAGGCATAAATTATCAGCGCATTCGAAAAAGTTGAAGAAAAAAAGTATTAAATTCTGCATCCTCTTTTTAACAAATTTCGTTTATCATTTTAATCATTTAAAAAAGGTAACTTTGTTAATATCTAACAATTTCTTAAAAAAATGTTTAATATTTTTAAAAGTAATTATAAATTAAAGGAAAAACTAAGAATATATATATATATATATATATATATATATATATATATATATATATGGTTTGGTGTTTGTCATTTTAAAAGATATAAGTTATGTCATTTTAAGAGAGAGATAGACACAGGGAATGAAAATCATGGGAGAGAAAGTGGATGATTTTTTTAATTTAAATTTTAAATTAAAAAATATTTTCTTGTATCTATCTCTCTATTAAAATGACATAACTTTATGTCATTTAAAATGACAAACATTTTTTCTATATATATATATATATAGGGTTTTATAAGAGTTATGTTGTAAGAAAAGTGATTGTGTAATGTTATAGAGATTCGTTTTGCGTGCCGTAACTTTCTTTTTTTCTTTTTTCTTCAAAAAGTGTAAGCCCCATAAAATATTGTGTGTATAAAAAAGTTTGTTGTGTCATGTTAAATGACAAATACA